CCTTGTTCTTGGGGTGCTGAAACCTGGGCAAGGATGTTCACAACCCCTGAGGTGACGGTGGGCAGGGATGGTGCAGTGCCAGGAGAACAGGATGGCCAAGGTGCTGGTGGAGAAGGTCCATTCCAGGTCACCCAGGCACTGTGGTCTGTCTCTGTTAGTCCCTAAATGATTTATTCCAAGCTGTGGGTTAATTTACCTGTGCTGTTTTCTTTCTCTGGAATGCCAGCAGCAGAGCAGCAGGAGGAGGACGGTGAGTGCCTGGGAGGATGTGGGAGGTGGGATGTGGTGGTTCTGGAGGGCTCCAGGAGGGTTGGTTGGTCACTCTCAGCCGGTGGAGGGAGGGTGCTGTGCCTGTATCACAGCCTTTGGGAGACAGCTGTGGGAATTATTTATGGGTGTGAAGGAGAGGACAGGTCTCCTGAGGAGCGGTGTTTGGTGTGGGGTCCTTCACCCCAGAGCTTTGTGTGGCCTTTTTTAAGCCCCCCTGGTGAGGCCAGAAGGGGATCTTTTTTCTGATACAAACATTAGCAAGACAAAGCCAAAAAACCAGCAGTGGGGAGGGACTGGGGTTAACTGGGAGTTCCTATCCACGTCCCAGCCTCATGCTGTGCCATAGGCACAGGATCTGGGCTGCAGCTCATTCTGGAGGGGTTTCAGGGGATGAGGGGTGGTCACTGTGTCCCTTGTGTCACTCATGGTGGTGATACTCCCTGTGTCAGATTGGGGGTGCCTGGGAAGGGGCTGGCACCTTGAGGACGTCATCAATGTCACTGATCCTCATTTTCTCTCCCACCACAGGGCTCCTCAGCCTATCTGTCGAGTCTGTACGGAGCCCCCCCAGCCAGCGCCTTCCCCCATCAACACCCTGTAAGTTTCCCTTCCCCAGAAGTGCCCTGGTACCTCCTGCCATGAGGTCTTTCCTTGGGCATCTTGTGGGAGGGCAGTCAAAAAAGCAGGGAATGTGTGCCAGGACCACAGCCTGACCCAACAGAACCCAACCCAACCCAACCCAGCCCAACTCAGCCCAACCCAACCCAGCCCAACCTACCCCACCACCTCTTCAAGCCTGGAATGCTGGCAGTGGGAAGGAACCCCCTGATCCAGCTGTTCCCCTGACCCTCTGGCTCTTCCGTGCCCTTTCCAGCTGCCGGAGCAGGAGGTTGTGAACTTGTTCATCCCAACACAGGCAGTGGGGGCCATCATCGGGAAGAAGGGGCAGCACATCAAGCAGCTAGCACGGTTTGCTGGTGCCTCCATCAAGGTGAGCAGGAAAGAGGGCCTCAGTTTCCCCTTCCCACTGCTGAGGCCCTTGGTGAATGGTTCTGCTCCCCAGATTAGTAGAAGCCCAGTCCTGCAGTTTCCTGATCGTCACCACTGCTGGGTAGGGGGGTATCTCTGCACGGGGGGTGTCCCTGCATGGGGGCACATCCCACACACGGGAGGTCTTGCCTGAGGAGAGTCACACTCACGCTCCTTCCCCGTCCCTCCGCAGATCGCCCCGGCAGAAGGTCCGGATGCCAGCGAGCGCATGGTGATCATCACGGGGCCACCTGAGGCTCAGTTCAAGGTGCAGTGGCCACAGGGTGGGGGCTGCCTTGGGGACATGGGTGAGAGCATCCCTTTGGTCCCCACCGTGCCAGGGGGCTTCTCAGCTCGGGACCACGTTTTTAGTGCTGCCAGACCATGGCCCATCATTGCCTGCGGGAATGAAGGGCACATCAGGCCACCTCCAGGATGCTGCCCACCACCGCTATGTCCCTTTTGTGTCCTCTCCAGGCCCAGGGGCGAATATTTGGGAAGCTGAAAGAGGAAAACTTCTTTAACCCGAAAGAAGAAGTGAAGCTCGAAGCCCACATCAAGGTGCCTTCCTTCGCCGCCGGCCGTGTCATCGGCAAAGGTGGCAAGACGGTAGGTGGGGGTGTGTGGGCTCCCACCTGCCCTGGGAATAGAGAGCTGGACATCCCCTACCTCCCATCACCTCTGTCCCAGTGCTCTGTGATATCAGTGATATCTCGGTCCCAGCCCTGTGTCCTGGGGGTGGCAAGCGTGCCAAGGGGACAGGGTGTGAGCCACGGCAGCCTGGTGCCACGTCCTGGCTCAGAGCTGGGGTGGCACCAGCAGCGGAGGATTTTGGCTCTTCCACAGCAAAACCTGGATCTTTGTCATTTGCTCCAGGTGAACGAACTGCAGAACTTAACGAGCGCAGAAGTCATTGTGCCCAGAGACCAAACTCCAGACGAGAACGAGGAGGTCATCGTCAAAATCATTGGGCATTTCTTTGCCAGTCAGGTAAGGTTTGGCCATAGCTCTCCCAAAATTCTCAGTTTAAGGAAAGCCACCAAGCACAGCATCCCCTGAGCTGCTCTGAGCAGTTTCTGTGCACCCTGGATGCACTGAATGGGTTTTTGGCTGCATTAAAATTAAGGATTGGCTCGATTCAACCAAAATCTGTGCCTTGGACACGGGATGGGAATTGTCTCCTGCATCCCACCTCAGTACATCTAACCAGGCTGTGTTCCTGGCTGCGAGGGCACGGTGACACCCCAAAATCGAGGCTCTTGAGTGATGGAAGAACAAGCCAAACCTTTGCTTTAGCACACCCTCATTTATCACAGAATCACGTGTTTGTCCCTACGTTAAAAGCTGTGGGGTTGTGATGCTGCTGTGGTGGGCGGGGGCTCAGCTCTGGTGAGACCACCCCCGTTTCTTGCCCCCCTCTCCAGACTGCCCAGCGCAAGATCAGGGAAATCGTGCAGCAGGTGAAGCAGCAGGAGCACAAACACGCTGAGGGAGCCGCGGCCTCGCAGCACAGCAAGTGAGGCTCCCGCCAGCACCGCCTGATGAATGTAACCCCCCGCCACTGCCGGAGCCCCGCAGGTTAGGGGACAAACCAAAGACCCCCGCGCCCCCCGGCTGCGCAGAACCGGGGCACGGGGGGCTCTCTCCATCCCGCAGCTTCCGCCTTACTCCATCGCCTCCCCCCGGCAGTTGGACTAACACAGGTAGAGAGAGGTGGTTTTTGTTTTGGAATTCTCCCCAAACCTGCCCATTCCACCCCGGAGGAGCTCGCCCAGCCTAGGGGGCCGCGGCGCTCGTTAATTTAGAATTAATATATCAGTAACAAAACTAACGCCGATTTTTAAGTTTTGTAAGATTTTATTTTTTAACTCACTTTTTAAATTTTTTGGGGGGAGGGGGCTGTTTGATTTTAGCAAAAGCAGGCTTTTCTAGAGGTTTAATGGCAGGAGCTGGTTCATTGGTTCTCTAATGCACCGTAGAGCAGAGCTGTAGGATCGCCAGCAGGGAAAAAAAATACTAAATAACCGTTAAAAAGCAATTTCTGAAGGGCTTTGAGAATAGCAGGGCCTGTAGGAGCCAAGAAGATTCCTCATGTTCATTGTTCCTCTCCTTCACACACCTTTTCCTCTTTGCTTTTGACTCCAAAAGCGGGATTCGCATCTGTTCTGTCTGTCCTCTCTCCATCACTGCCCAGCACTGACATCCCTGGAAAATTAAGGGCAGCACCAGCCCTGCCCGCTTTGGACTGGGATCTTTGGGGAAAGATCCCTGTTGCAGGGAGAGGAGGGGGAAATGGGTGAAAAAAAATGGATTTACAAGAGGTTGTCAGCCCAGGGCTGGAAAACCCAACCAGCAAAATTGGCTTCAAATGAAAAATAACCCAAATAACCCTCCCAACACACACACACACACAGAGAAAAACTACCTCAGGTTTTCATACCTCAGCACCTTGCGCTTGTGTTGCCCTTTTAGAGATTTTTGTATGCCTTGTAAAACTGATAGTTGGAGCATTTTTTTATTTTTGTAATAAAAAAAAAACGAGTTGGAAAAATGATCTCGACCAAGTCAGCTGCGAGGTGGAAGAAGGAAACCATTCCCCGTGTCCCAGAGCTCTTCCATAGTCTCCTGCAAACCGAGACCCAGTGGCTATTCCTTCGGAGAAAGCTTGAGAAATGGTTAAAAAGAAAAAAAAAAAAAAACCAAAAAAAAAGGGAAAAATTAAAAAGCCAAACACAAAAATAAAAGGGTTTAATGAAATCCAAGTGATGGATGGAAGTGGTGAAAGCCGATAGGCAAGAGCAGGGGTGGGAGCAGAGGTGCCGGTGCCAGCACCGCTCCTGTGGGCTGCGAATCCGTGTTTTCCTCTACTGCAAAGTGTTCTGTGAAAACCAACCGACAAAAAAGAGAAATATATCCAGCTAACCAGAGCCTGAGCCTGCTCTCTGTTGTCTTCTTTGGAGTCCCTTTTGGTGGTCGTGGCTGGGAGTTCCTCCCTGGTGCCCAATTCCCTGCTGCCAGGGAGGGAAGGGCTGCATGTGGGGCTGTAGGCATTGCCAGGTGTGGTTTTACCCTGGGACCTGGGAAGTGTTGCCATCATGCAGCCACCTCTCCCTCCCTGCACATCCCTGGGCGGAAGAGCCAGTGGGGAAAGGTGCCCACTGGGGTTGGGATGGCCTCTGGGGGCAGGGCCAGGGATGCTGCTGCCAGGTGCCACCCTGAGGGACCCTCCCTTCCATGAGCCCCAGAGCTGGGCTCTTCCCTCCCAGCCCTCCAGCACAGGAGAGTGGCTCTGGTGGCACCTGGGATAGTCAAAACTGCAGCCCCAAACAGTGAGAACCCAAGAGACAGGGTAAAGGACACCTAAAACATTCCCAGCTGCTGCATCCTCATGCTCAGATCTTCTACCTGCTCAGGGATGATTAATTATCCCTGATTAATTATTTGTAAGGATTAAACATGAGTTTCTTTGGAATTGTTCATCCTTTGGAGAATCTACCCTGAGTTTGTGACAGATTGAACCAATCACTGAAAGCAGAGACAGACAGCTCCTCTGCAGCTTGGCTGGGATCTTGTGGGTCTTTGGGTCAGGAGCAGCACAGGGCTGTCTGTCCCCACAGCCAGCAGGAGAGGAGACAGCCCCTGTTCTTCTTCAGATGGGGAGCAAGTTAGAAACCACACAGAGACACCAAATCAGTTTTCAATTAAAAAATAAATTACTCTATTAACAAGTCACATTCCCATACAGTAAGGCTCTTACATAAGTTAATATTATCTCATATTACCTAAACAATAAGAAATAAATACTACTCTTTTGCAGAACAGTGTTTTCCTAACAGTGCATGTCTCCCAGCAGCTGCTGATGGATTATTTCCCACACCATCTTCCTGCGGAAATAAGGCATGTGCTCCTGAAAAGAAACAGGAAAAATCCATCACACAGAAAGCCAGGGGAGAAAGAGGCAGGAAATCTCCATTAAAACCCAGGGAATTCTTGAATGGGAAGCTGCTTCTGAGCACCTGCCATTTGGGTACAAGGTGGGTTTCACATGAGGATGACACAACCACCCAACAAAACCACATCTCTTTACAGGGACATTTATTAAAGTCACTGCATCAGAAAATAACCAGGGGCTGAGCTGAAGGGTGAAACCTGTTTCACCAAGAGATACAAAGGCCACTGGCTGCAGCAGCCTGGCTGGATGGAATTAGATGGTCTTTAAGGTTCATTCCAACCCAAATCACCCTGGGACCCCACACTTCTGTGCTCTTGCCCAAGAAGCAGACACGAGGAACAAACCCTCAGCCCCTGCCCCAGCTGCTGTGCAGCTTCCCTGGCTCTGGGAAAGGCTGGAGTTGTTTACACCTCCTCTCACCGGGGTGAAGATGATGGGTTTGTCTCTGGAGATGAAATCAGCAAATTTGCAAACAAAAACTCCACAGTCACTTCCATTATTTTGTTGAGGGATTTCCTGAGGAATACAAAAACATGGAGAATTTTTATCTGTCTTGAAAGAGCAGCGATTTGGTCATAGCACACATTACCCACACCTACTCCTGAAAACCTATTTCCATAATCCATTTACCACTCCCAAACTCAAGGAATAGCCCCAGTTAACTGAACATCATCTCCCTCCTCTGCTTGCCTGGAAACTGTTAAACCACCCTCTGTGACAAGGAGTTCTAGCTCCCATTCCAAATCCAGGCATTGCTCCCATACCTCTGTGCCCATGCTGTGAAGGGTCCACTCAGAAGCAGTCAATTCAATGTTTCTTTTTTCCCTGCTTTCCTCTTCCAGGTATTTTCTGGTGAAAACAACACAAAAATCACACTTTTCATCTCCCCAGTTTAGGGCAACAACAAGAAGCTGTTGAAAGGTGACAGGAAAATAAATCACAGTGAAATGCCAGAGGATCCTCACAGCAGTGGGTTTAAGGAACATGGAATAAAAATCCCAATCTTAGAAACACAGTGAGAGGCTGTGAGCAGAGCTCCCCAGGGCCCAGTGTGGGGCCCAGCCCTGGGTAATATCTTTACCCATGAGCTGGACGAGGGGATTTGGCGCCCTAAGGGCCTCTGTAGGTGACACCAAGTTGGGTGGAGGGCAGAAAGACTCTGCACAGGGCTCTGGTCAGTGCTCTAGGCTGGTGAAAAGGTGAGGATCGGTCATGGGTTGGACTCAATGATCCTGGAGAGCTTTTCCAACCTCAGTGATTCTGGGAAATGTCTCTGTGGGGCTGCTCTCCTGCTCTCACCCTACAAAGCTGCTGGATGAGGGGCTTTTACTGACAAAGACATGTCAGGATGTACAGCACATGTGAAAACCTGCAGCTCTGACACTCCAGAGGATTCAAAACACTGAGCAGAACAGAAGAGGTATGAAGTGAGGAGCACCATGGGACAGGGGCAAAAACACTTCATGAAGGGAGGGGAAAAGGCCTCAAAAACCACCAAAAGGGATAAAAAAGCAGCTACTCACAAGACAGTTTTACAAATGTGGTCTCCTTTCTGTCCCAAGGAGTCAAAGTATTTGATGGTTTTCTCTCGGAGGTCTACGACCTGGGATAAAAGCTGACTTAGACAAAGCACACCCCAAACACTAAAGGACTTTGCTTGCTAGTTTAGTTCTCCCCATCCCTAAATAAAAAGCTAGTTTGACTTACCAGCAGTGTCCAGTGAGTTCTGAGGTGAACAGGCACCAAGATGACATCGTGCTCAAAGATATCCACACCTTTGGTCCATTTCTTTACTCCCTTGTGGCTTGTAGAGCTTAGCTTGGAATAAAAGAAGGTATTAAAAGCATAGACTGCTGGATATCCTTCCTTCTTGCTTCTTTCCACCAGAAGACTCATGTAGAAATTCATGATCTGGAGCAGAGAGAGGAAAAGTGAGATGTGAAATAAGACACTAAATTAAAAAGACAGCAACATGTCTTTGCTGGTCACCCTTGAGCTAAGAGAAGTCCAGCTTGGCAGCTTTTGCTCCCAGAATTTTACACTGGGAGACTTGTGCTGCTGGTTAAAGCCCCCACACCCACTCTGATAACCCAGACTGACTCCTGGGAGCTGCATCATCCAAGTGAAAGCTTCCAGAAAGACCAGCCCACACAGTACCCAAAATGAGTCTACAGCTATTTCTGGGCTCTGCAGTGGAGCTCCTGGAAGACTCCTGTGCCCAGGGAGGTGAGATTTCCCTGCAAGTGCAGGATGCCATACCCTGTCATTGAGCCAGCCCAGGGGCTGCAGGGTGCAGATGTCCTCACGGGTGACACTGAGCTTGAAGGCTCTGCTCAGGATATCATCGGGCTCACCGCTGTCAAAGGCAGCAGAGATCTCGCTCTCCATGGCCTGCAACAAAGCATTCAGTGGGGAAGGGCTCATGGAACAGCCCCCACAGCACAGCAACAGCCCCCCAGAAGGCCAAGTGCAGCTCCAGTGCCAGAGCAAGGAGCCTTGCAAGGCCTTTGCTGGACCAGGCACAGCACTGGCTTGCTGCTGAGCACAGGTACCTCTGTCAGTGGAGCCAGGTCATCTACTGGCTTTCCTGGGCACGGCAGTGGCTCGCTGTCCACAAAAAAGAGGTCTTTGGACAGCACAGGCGTCACATGGAACTGGAATAACTTTCCTTGGAGGACTTTGGCTTCACGCTGGCCCTGCCAGGGACAAGGACAGGAAGTCAGAGAGAAGCACAAGGGGTTTGCTGGGGGACAGGGCAGAGAATCCTGCAAGAAACTGGGAGGGGTTGTGGAAACACATCCCAGCAGCAAACCCCAAAGTCACCTTTGAGTGGTGACTGCATTCCAAGTGTGCCCAGAGAGGCAGGACTTTCCTTGGGCTTGGATTAACATCCAGGACCCCAGCAAAGCCTCCACATGCAGGTATCAAGGTGAGACCAAGGTAAGTATTTCTGATTTCTACACTTCAAGTTTTATTTTGGATCTCAATCCTGAGCAGAGATGAGTTATATTTTCCAGAAAACAAAGTGAAGTAATGACTAACTCAAGCTTACCACTGAAGCAGCTTGTTTGTCTCGTTTTCCCTGTCCACGAGAGTCTTCTGGTGGTGTGTAGTAGCTGTCAGGAGAAAGAGAAGTGAGCTGGATATCCACACTGCCCCATGAAATTCCCCAGAATTCACCTTCTGCAATAAGAAACACTTTTTCAAGGCTCATTCTGACACATAACAACATCTGTTTCCTTCCCCATTCCTTTTGTAGCAGTGAGACCAGGACAGATGAAGAGCTGGAAGCTTCACAAACTTTCTTCCAATGTCAGGTGCCAAACTCCTTTTGTTCTTCAGTTTTAATCTTTGGAAAACAGGGAAGCTACCTGCACTTCCTCTATCAAGTGCTTTGTGATCTCCTGGTGACAGGTGCCACTCCACCAGTTAATCCCTCTCTTCCCTTGAGCTTAGAGGACAGCGACAATTTAACTCAGGACAAATGCATAGCTCAATACAGTGCTCGTGTCTAACAGGGAAAGAGAACAGGGACCAAATCACCCCAAACCAGACCTGCCACAACCAAACCTCTCTCTGCTCCAATCTGCACTTTCCTCTCTTGCCTGAGGGGAGGAAGAAGAGGACACCAAACTGCCACACCAAAACCCCTCCCTAGAGCTGCAGCCAAAAGCCCTTTTCCCTCCACAAGGAGCCTCCTGCACCCCCATCCTGCCACCACAGAGTCCACTGGCCCCTGAAGAGGGACAGCAACACTTCCTTTTTGGTCTCCTATCCCAACCCAAGGCATCCTGCAAGCCTCAAAAACTGCCTCAGCCCCTCCAGGCTTTACCAGCTCCTTACTCCTTTTGCTCAAGGATCCACAGGAAATGCAAAGTCAGCCCATTAATGGTGTGGCACTGAGACACTGCAAACCCAAGGACAACCTGGTGTGGTCACCACTGTCACCCCTACTTCCTTCTCCCAAAAATCACCCAGCACATCCCACAGCTGCCCAGCTGTGACAGGGGAACTGCATGTGAGGGACAACTGGCTGTCAGCAATTCCTCAAACCAGGTGCTCCTCTCCCCCAGCACTGAGACACTGGACAGGATTTGTATTCTGGAGACTGACAGAGCCAAAAGAAACAAGAGCCGTGGTTAAAAGAGACTCTTACCTGATCATGACACCTCTCTGAGGCAGCTGGGGGCTGAAAACATCCCTATGATTGACACCTGCAGGGAAAAGCAGCAATATGAGAACAAGGAGGTGATTTCCCATTCCAGCAGCTGCACAGAGCTCTCAGTTTCTGGGTGACACCACAGACATTGCATCAGCATTTCCAACTTAGAAGTTCAAACTCTGGCACTTGCTCAGAAATCATTTCAATCCCCATGTAATCATGTCATATAGTTCAAGATATAAAAGAGCAAGTGATGAAAAAGTATTTAAGTAATGAACAGGGGAAAAAAAAATCCTGGGACAATATTAAGCATTTATTTAATTAGTTTACTTGGTTTGGTCTGCTTTTATGGAAATGGTCCTGTCTAGCATTAAAAAGGGATTAAAGTGCAGCTCTGAGGGTGCAGAGTCAAATATCACCCTCCCCTGGTACAAAAAAAAAAACCAAAAAAAATATTGGTAAACAGATTCTACAACCTTCTCCTGTGCAGTGGGGTCACATCCAGCTGCACAAACTGCACTGCTACAGTTCCAGCTCTCAAATACCATTTAAAACCACTTCTTCCCCTTCAGTAAAATCCTCAGAAACCCAGTTTAGCCAGTAATTTCCATTTGAGGAAATGCCCTGTTTGAGCTGGACATCTACCTACAGAGTGGACCAGGGGATACTCACTGGTTCTCTCTGGCACAGGTGGAGAGGCACCTCTGGATTTTTGTTCTTTCAGGGGACTCCCAGTCATCCTTGGTTCCTTGGTTTGAACTCTTTGGTGCAGCAGAAGAAAAGGACAGAGTTTTTACAGCTGATTTGTTACCAGTGCACATTATTCACTGCAGAGGACATGGCTATTTGTACACAACTGGCTAAATGAAAGCAACAGAAATATATGAAGTAAAATTAGGCTGTTTAATCCTTAACAGAACCATGCTGTCACTGGTTCCATGACCAGATGCAAAGGGCATTTCGAGTTGACATCCAGAAGTTTGGCCACCTTCAACTCAGGCACAGTGAATATACAAGTGTCAAATTTTCTGCCTCCACTATTCCAAAAGAGACTCAATTATTACATTTGACGCTGTCCAGAACTCAGAGTAGGAAAGATCAATTCTCCTCCCCTTCCACATACAAGGAGCTCATCACCAGAAAGTTAAGGGTTATTTTGCTCATAATTACTTGTTAAGTCTTCCTGGACGTGGAGAATGAAGTCTTCCAGAATATTTTTCCTTGAACAGACGCAGGAGCTCTTTGTATTTCTTATTTTCTGCTTGCTGAACATCCTTGCAGAAGGGAAGGAAAAAAGAGATTTTGAGAGGCATTCCAAGCCCTTCCTTTTGTCTCAGCCTAACTGTACAGGAACTCCACAGCTGTTTCATCCCAAAACGATTCCCTTCTCCCCAGTTTACCTCTTCAGCAGCACACAAAGGCCTCCTGGTGCCACTGACTCCCAGAGAGTTGGGACCTGGCTCCTTAATGGGGGGCCTGGGTGTGACAGGGCTCTCTGGAGCAGCTTGGATGTCGTTATTCCTGCTCGAGCTGAAAGCATCAAAGGCAGAACAAACACTACTAAAAGAACATTCCAATCTCCTGATTTATTAATTAGGTTTTAATTAGCATCTCCTGATTCAAGGAGGCACAGCAAGCTGCCCAGAACCATGTCCAGGAGGGTTTTCCAATATCTCCATGGACAGACTCCAAAACCTCTCTAGGTGACCTGTGGCAGTAGCTGAACAACCTCAGAAGGGGAAAAAAAAAATTCCTCTGGGGAAATGGAAATTCTCTGGGGGCTTTTTGGGATTTTTTTTGCTTTTGTTTGGTGGTTCTAGGATTTTTCTGTTTGCATTCCTGGTCTCAGCCTCTTCCCAAGTACAACACTTCCTCCTACCACAGGAGGTGAGAGTGTCGAACTTGTTAATATTTCTCTCATCTCTTGAGTCTATCAATTATCTGGATTTAAAGAGAAAGTTTAAAACTGGTCAAAGACAAGAACACAGCTGTCTCTCCACAGCTGGAGACCTCCCTCAGTATGGCAGCCAGGAAGAGCCCCAGAACACCCTGGAAAAATGCTGCTCTGTGGACACAAAAACAAATGTTGGGCAACACAAGAAGTTCACAGATGAAAGTGAAAGGCAAGAAACCCCTCAAAGCAGAAGTGAAGGAAAACAAGGGTTTTTACCTCACATAGGGAAATCTCTCAGCAAGAGAGCATGGTGTTTCCTCAGTCAAGCATGGGTTGGTGTCACAAGGCATTTTGTCTGTGAGAGAAGAGCACAAGCCATCAGCTACCGGTCAAGAAAACGGGAGTTTTATGAGTTTAAAAAGCTTCACCAAAGACAAATTACTTTCATTTTATCCCTCATGTTCTAATATTATTTGTGCTATGTTGCTTCAGGGTATTTTCATATTGGCAACTACATATATTTTGACTTCAGCAACCAGCCCCCAGCCTGGGCAGAGCTGCTCAGAGTCAGAGCAGCAGGAGAAAGAAATAAATGAATGAAAGACTTGCTGTCAGCCCTACCAGGTTCTGTTGTGTCCTCATCCTCTGCAGATGCTACAACTGAAGAGTCAGAAGAAACGTACACTACCTGAAATAAAAACAAGTACCAGAGTGAGCATAACCTCAAGGTGAATCCAAGCAGACACCTCCCCTTCCTGAAATTCAGCCAGCTGTGCTCAGAGCCTGTGTTTTTGCTTGGGTTGCAGCAGAAGGCAGGGGCACTGATGGCACCACTTCTGTAACACAGGCTCTCACACATGCAGGGATTGTGGGAGCTGATCCCTGAGCTCCCCTCAAAATCCTTGCTCACCTCATCTTCAGAATCAGAGAAGAAGTCTTCTCTCTCTTTAGTCTCCTGGCTTCTACTTGTGGCCTCAGGTGGCAACTTGGCAGCCACAGAAACCTCTTCGGGCTCCTTGCTAGCCCCAGAGACACATTCTGGAAAAACCACATCACCAGGCCATAAAGAATAGGACTGAAAACAGGGGTTGGGATTTCTGCTTCCACTGAAGCCCTGCCCCTCAATCCCACATGGAGCAAGTAACTCATTTCAACAACTCAACAACAGCCCAGCAGCACCCCCACCCCATCACTGGGGATCTTGCTCCCAAATAGAAATCAGGAAGCTCCACATCCCCCATGGAACAGCAACAGCCTTGATTGAAAATGCACTTTGTGCTGCCCTGCAGGGCTCAGTGCCAGAAGAGATCTGGGATATCCCATGCCCTGCCCCAGCCAGGATTTATCCTTGGTGTAAATACACAGCCCTCACAGGAGGGAAAAAGTTGTTCCCTGCTTCTCTTCCTGCCTTCATCTGACCAGGATCTCTGATCTTCCACTTGGTTTAAAGATCACAGAATCATTAAGGTTGGAAAAACCCCATGAGGTCATCAAGTCCAACTGTTCCCAAGGCCACCATAGACCCACGTGCCCAAGTGCCACATCCATGAACAATGGGACACATCATCAATAGGCCCAGGCCCCACGAGACCCCCTCCAGCCACAAGAATGGCTCAAAAATCCTCAGTTTCAGCAGAAATTCTGAAGTACCAAATCCAGGGTTCCCCTAGGTACCCCAAACCCAAGGAAAACCAGGCATATTACACCTCTCCATGAGGGGAAATACCTGTTTTCAGCCTCTTTGCGGGAATCTCCTCAGGATCTTCCACAGGTGACAGAACACTGAGGGAAGAACAGACAGAACAATGTTTTGCAACCACAATTCAGCTTCCAGCAGGCTGATTTCCCTTTTTCACAGGGCCCAAACTTCCAAAGGTGGCTTTCCTATTTCCCTAAGATCATCTCCCAGAGAGTTGATCATCCCACTAAAGCAGATCAGGCCTCCTTTTCTCCTTCTGTTAATGCTTCCTCCTGTTTTATGTTCCTTCCTACCACCAAAATATGGCTTAATATGTAATACTTTCCTCTTTCCTCCAGGAAAGAAACACTCCAGAGGACACTAAGCCACCCAAGCTCATGTCACTACGCTGAGCTGCAAAGGAAAGTTTAAGCAGAAGAGGAAACAAAAGGTGGGAAAGCCATTCCTGATTACATCCACTCCAGCCACTTCCTGCTGAGTCAGCGCTTGGGAACAAATCCTTGAAACAATTAGCAGCCTCACCCTTTCTCAGAAGCCTAAACGCGGGGATTTTTATCAGTTGACACCATCATTAAGGCCGGTAAAAACGTCTCCTTTAGGAACAGAGCACAAAGAACGTTCCTATTTCAATTCTCGCCCCCCCCACCAAAGGCTAATTCCTTCTGAGCTGCTCCTCAGTGAAAATCACTCGTGCACCACGCGGCTCTTTCCAGAGACATTCCCTCGTCTCTCTCACTCAGGAATGGGACACTAAGCAAAGCCTCCCGGAGCAAGTTTCTCCCGGAGGGAGCAGCCGCGCTCCCCCAGAGCACAGCGTGTAACTCATACATTCCAAGGCATGGAGGTGCTTCGGCCATCACCGGCAGCAAAATGCTGAATGCCTGGGAAGGCATCCTTCTTTTATCCACTTCACATCCATATTCCATCAGTCCCCTGCAGCCAAGGCATCCCCACAGGCGGGTGTGGCCGTCCCTGCTCCTCCAGCACATCCACCCTAAAGCTGCACGCCGCTCCTCCTTCCCAAACCCGCACCAGGCAGGTGGAAAGATGGGCCGAGGGGTTCATTTGGAACACCTGGGACCCACAACCACCTCCACACCTGGGCCTGCGGACAGGCTTAAGGGGAATACCTGGGACCCACGACCACGTGAACACCTGGGATTTATCAGCAATTTCCGAGACCCACACGGGGAGCCCCGGGGGCGTGCGGACGCCGGCCGGGCCGAGCGGCGGGGCAGCAGACGGGGCGCAGACCGGAGGCGCGGCGGGAAGGGCTGACCTGGAGAGCGGCTTCTTTCGGGGCGGCGGGTCCGGGCGCGGGGCCGGGCTGAGGGCCGGGGCCGGGGCCGGGGCCTGGCGGGCGGCGTCGCGGAGGGCGCGGAGGACCGCGAGCAGCCATTGGTACATGGACCGCGCGCACTTCCGGCGCCAGGCCCCGCCCAGCGCCGCCAACGGCGGGGAAGGGCCCCCCCC